CCCTGCCAGGCGAGGCAGCCCTGCCCCTGCACCCGTGGGGCTGTGGCATGGCAAGGGGTGCGGGTGCGGGGCACTACCTGCTGGCTCCGGGCCCAGGGGCAGCCGGTGCTCCGCGAGGCGGTTGATGGTGCTGAGGGCCAGCATGGCGTGAGGGCACCCGCTGCTCTGCCTGTCCCGCCAGCAGCTCTGCAGCACCGTGGGGAGATCGCAGCTCGCCAGCTGCTCCGCCAGGCCCCGGTGGCTGTTGATCAGCGTGTTCACCACCAGCAAGCCATTCTGCACGCCTGAGGAGCCCCTGCAGGGACAGAGCCATGCAGGCACCTTCCTCCCCCAGGCACAGAGCCTCCCCTGCACCCACAAGCCACCTGCCTGCCTTGCCCACCCCTACCCCAGCCGCTGTCCTCACCCTGCCCCTACCCTGGGACCCTCTGCATGGTGCTCAAGGCAGCAGGGATGGCACTCAGCAGGCTCGCCGAGCCCTCGCTGGAGGCAGAGCCGATGCTGGCAAAGATTTCCCACATCATCTGCGCGTCGGCGTGGCTCAGGGGCAAGGCCTTCCCACCGGCACTTCCTGGCTCACCAGCGCCTTCAGGGCCTGCAGGGTCAACAGCAGTCAGAAGGGCACCTCTGCCGCCCCCGGGCAAGCCTGGACCCTGGCCTGCCCACCCACAGCATCCCCTCTGCCACGCTCACCGCCAGCCCGGCGTGCTGCACCAGTGCGGAGGAGGCGTGCTGCTGCATGCAGGCCAGCACAGCCCGCACGCCGCCCTCAGTGGCAAATGGCACACGCCAGTCGTGCTTCACCATCAGCACGGCCAGCAGCCGCAGTGTCACCACCACCAGCGCCTTCTCTGCCACCTCGGTGCTCAGCAGCTCCACTGCCACCTCCACCAGCTTCTCCCTGCATGGAAAAGGACATCTCAGGAGAAGCCTCCTGGCACTGTCGCTGGCACACCAGCACCCCGGGCCCTGCCAGCCCCCCTTTCCCTGCCCACATGGCTCTACCACAGCTGGATCAGCCCCAGGAATGAGACTGCCTGGAACAAAGAGACACAAGATCCACCTCTCTACTTGCTGAGCACACAGGACCTACCAGCCTTCACACTTCCACTGCCACCTCCCGCACTCCCACCTCCAGCAGTGTCCCTCACCCTGCCGACACAGCCCTCCCGGGCCAGCAGGAGAGGTGCACAGCACCCCAAGGCTCACCCAATACTCCTGGTTCCCAGCCCACCCTGGGCTTTGCCGACTGGCTGCTCAGGCTCAGGCTCCTCCTCCAGGATCTTCACGATGCGCTGGAGCCCAGCTAAGCGCAGCCCTGTCTCTGAGCTGCTGCTCTGGATCACATCCACCACAGCTGCAATCTCGGCCATTGAGCCCCTCTCGCTCACCCGCTCGGAGCTGCCCAACACTGGTGGGAGGGAGGCAGAAGCACAGGTGTCAGGGCAGCAGCAACACCCCCAGCAACTCCAAGGTTGCCATGCACCCATAGATTCAGCACCCACAGGAGCCCCCTCACCACGCAACCTCTGGGTGCCTCACCTCCCACGCCCTGCCCAGAGCAACGTTGCCACCGAGGCAATGGAGTCGCCTCCAGCACCGCACGTAGCAGGTGGTTACCTTTGATCTGCTCCTCGGCCACCTCAGGGAAGAGCAGCCCTTCCCTCTCAAGGAGCTCACTGAACAGCTGGGAATCCGACTTCACTGCCACAGCAGGGGCTTGGGGAGGCACTGGGGCTGCAGAGAGGTCTTCCTTTGCTGCCCTGGCCATCGTGACTTCAGGGCCAGGGCTCCTGCAGCCAGCATCCCCTGAGGACACCACAGTGCTCGCCCTGTCATCCTGCTCGGCCCCACTACCGAGGAAGTATTTGGCATAGATGTGGGAGCTGCGCAGGTCACGCTGAGTGCTGCCCTGGCACCTCTCATCCAAGACCCGCAGCACCTGCTGGGCCAGCTCCACAGGTACCAACAGCTGGATCAGGGCTTCTTCATCC